CGGTTTTAGGCATCACGCTCTTGCTCACGCTCGTTGTGCCCCGGTTTTTTTCGGGTGTTTTCAGGGTCCTTTTACGTGCAAAACTTTAATTTGGTCATCAATCCTAACGATCACCCCTAGCGCGGAAACCAAAATTTGGGGGGGGGAAAATTATATATGAGTAAAAAAAGGAAATTAGTGTGCACTTCTAGCAGAGTTTATGCCAAAGGGGAATCATGGGCCCTGCCCCGTGTGAAAAAATAATATTAAAACTTTGTGTCAAGGAAAGAAGACCCCCTAAAGCATTGAGGAACATAGTGTATGTGTATACACAGTGGCTCCCTAGTATTTGATGTAAAGGCTAAGTGTCATTGAAAACAGGTGATTTTGTAAATGAATGTAAGCCTATAGGGCGGTGAAAGTCGCCAAAAATTTACCAGGTCAGCTTTTTTAAAAATTCCCTGGCTTGTGGTACTCGCTAAATCTAGTGTACCAGGAATAGCAAATCAGTGTTGTAGTAGCAACAAAACCAGTATTAAAATGGTATTTAGTGAAGGGAGTGACTTTCATAGTTTTTTTTTTTTGAAATACAACGTTACGTGAATTTATATAACCTGTAGTACCAGGGGTCGAAATATAAAACGAAAAGCAATTTTTACTACAGAAAAGCGCCCTTCCTCCAAAATTTGCACCATCAACTAATGAAATATAGCATTTTTTTGTGGGGAGAGGGAAAAAAAAAAAAAATAGAGAACTAGTACGCGATTGATAAACAAAGGTGGGGGGCCGCCCGTTCGCCCTTTGTGGAGCTGCCGTATCCCCGGCCTTTTCAACACGCAAGTTATACTTTTGTATCAATCAAATCAATATACTCTGGTAGGATAATTTACCAGTTGTTCCTTCCATTGTGTTTAGTCAAATCACCGACCAGTATGGTTTAAATAAGTGACCCACAGATCAGATCAGATAGACTGGTCCGAACTTGACTGGTCCGAAACCCTTGAATGGTCCGAAACCCTGGACTTGGTTTCAACGGCTTCGTCTGTGCACCAATAGCAAGGTTATTAATAGAATATTCAAGAGGTTGCTAGTAGAATTGCAGTAATAAACCATTCAATCATTATGAAGCTGTGTGTAGTCTGTGGTCAGTCAACAAACGGGCTATCCACATCGCATAAATTGTCATTTCTGTGGAAAGTGGTGTCACGCCCTTGGCTGATATCATGAAACTAGGCTACAAGCAGTATTTAACAGGGAAGTGTTTTGGTATGCCCAAAGGAGATAAAATTGATGGACTAAAATCACAAGGGTATTTAAAAAGAGGTCAACATCCAATGCTGACTTTCATAGAAAACCTGGGAAGTTTCTACAACAGATGGGAACATAAAAGTCTGGGCTGTATGTACTGCCCTTGATACTGGCCATGAGTCAGAAACTGTATGGCTGGAGATGATGTCTGGTTGTAGTAATGGGGTGATAGTGCTTGTTGGGAGACAGTACATGGGAAGCTGGTGGTGCTGTCCTGGGAGACAGTAATGGTCGTTGATGAAGCTGGAGATTTGTCAGGTAGTCGGGAACTATATGCAGGAAGGAATACATTATGTATGACCGCATAGGGGACAGGAGCCATAGTAGGGAAAAAGTGTAGTCAAAGATAAGATAAAACCTATATTTGCAATCTAGAAATACCGGGAAATAGCAAACAAGAGGACTCCACTAGCAATAGTGAGGATATATTACCAAAACAAATGGTGGGAGATCATTGTGGTGCTAGGGAGGATGGAAGTAAGACAGGAAACATGCACCAACAGGAATACAGTACAGAAACCAAGGCAAACGGAAAACCAAGCCTAGTGCACATACATGCACTCGGTATCTGTGGCATGGGAAATCTGGAAAAACAGATGGACGTGCAACTATGACCACCCTAGAAAATGGTCATGCCCATATGAACAACAGGAAAATGCAAACTCCCTTCCTGTAAGCTTTTTCACCCATGAACTGTGTACCTCTTCAGTACAGGAAGACGGTGCATAACTTAAAATTGCCAGGCATACCATCTAAAGGGACAAAAAGATACAAAACATTCCAGGCCATGGGAAAACCTGGGTAGCCACAGCCACTCAAGAGGGAGAGGTTTTTTAGTGGGCCAGGAAGGAAAAAAAAACTGGCAGGAAATGGCAGGATCGTACACCAAATCAGTCATTCCTGGAGTGGAACCAACACACTCGATGGCCTCCACTCCAAACCAACAGATACCAGATACTAATGCCGGAAAAAATCCCCCACCAGTACCAAACAATACCACCAGTCACGTTTCATTCTTCTTTGCCAAATATACAGGGTCTAAAGCCAGCAACAAAACAAACAAAATACCTTTCATCCGTGGGGACTGCTTGCAGAGGCAAAGGCATGTTCGCGGCTTTCCTGGGACCCACATAAAAGGAACACTTAGTCAACTGAAATATGGAATCCCAGGTTTCAACCTATACAGTATTCCGTGACAGAGGTGAAACCACGGCAAAAAGGGGGGGGTTGGCCTGTACATTGCAGAGTCACTTGTTTGCACAGAAACTGCTAAATGCCTCAAATGATGTTGTGGGGGGGAAGTTTTAGCAGTAATGGTCGTGAACAAAACCTAGTCATTTGATAGTCTCTACAAGCCTCCGGATGCAACATCCCCAGCAATTCCAGGAAAGCTGTTAAAAAATTGACCACTGTCTGGAAAACTTCCGCTCCTGACCCAAACTTCTGCTTCCTGGGGGATTTCAACTTAGGCACCTAAAATGGAGGAATATAGCAAATAATATCAGTTGCAGTAATAACACAGGAGGCAGCTCTGATGAAAACTCACATCAGCGAGCTTTTAAATCTTCTGCCACAAAATTCAATTTAACAGCAAATAATAGAGCCTACTGGACTGGAGGGAATACACTAGACCCTCATCTTCACTACAATGTGATCTGATAAGAAATTATCCACCTTGTCAAAAACATATTACTCAGATCACAACATAATTGAGGTTTCAGTTCATGTATCGCCGGAGCCCCAGACCGACATAATGAGTTTAGTCACGAGGGAGCATTCACACAATTCAACTTCAATAACAAAAAACATAAAGTGGACAAGTAAACCAAGGTCCTAACCGATATAAGCTGGGAGAAGATTTTACTAAGCAACACAGACCCCAACTTAGCTGAAACAGATTAACCCCTCGGTAGCACTCGATGTATGCACAAGGCCTTATTCCTCTAAGAAAAAGGAGGAGTAGATGTTAAAACAGAAAGAGACAGCGCTCCCTTTACAGGCGACGGAAAAAAGAATTACAGAGCGGCTAAAGAAGGTCAATTATATCTGAAATAGCGTAGGTAGACATGGTCAGAGAAATAGAAAGGCATCGAACTTAGCTAAAAAGAATCCTTTAGGAGTCTGGGAATCGCGGGAAGAACTAAAAGCCATAAATGAAATCGAAAGAAACCAAAGTATTTTCTTCTTCCTATGCCAAATCAAAAATCGAAAACAACGGTCCAGGTATGGGAGCCCTACTTAAACAAGAGGGTCCTACACAATGATGACATACAAGGAAATTGGAGTGAGCTACCTCAAGTACCAATATGACTCAGTTTTTAGCAAGCCCGCTAACCAGACTGAGAGCGAAGATCAAAATGATTTTTGTATGAGAGAGCCACAAAATTTGATTTAACACAAGCCTATCCGATGTTATCCTGACGCCAAATGACTTCGAACAGGCTATAAATGACAATGCCCATGCACTCTGCCCAGGGCCAGACTCATGGAACTCGTGTTCATCAAGA